ATTTGTAAGTCGCTTTGGATAAAAGCGTCTGCTAAATGACTAAATGTAAAATGTAATGTAAATGTAACTAACCCAACAAACACAGAACGTTGCCTCAACGTAGCCAACCTTTTAGCAACGTTGTTACAACATGGCTAAAAGGTTGTTGGTTCTACGTTGTGTCGTTGAGGTTGTTACTGCGTTGTCACAATGTTGCCATTCAATCACGGTTCAGGGCCATTGCTGAAGGTTGTGCTTGGCCTGTCTGGACAACCACTGGACGACATATACTCGACACTGTTCCGAAGCGCATTTAGGGTGACCATATTTTAGTTTTTCAAAAAGAGGACAGTAGGGGGCGGTTCGTGGGCGGGGTTTCACCTAACAGTATAAGCAGCAAGGTTTTTTTTTTGTTTGTTTGCTTATTTGGTTTTTATAATAAATAAAAACAAAACAAGTAGATTGAATAGAAAAAGAATAGGGAATGCTAGTGTTAGAGGGTCATTTTTAAATGTCAGTTGAACAGAAAAAGAATAGATAATGCTTGTGTTAGAAGGTCATTATTTATAATAAATAAAATGAAAACAAGTAGAAAGAAAGAACAGAGAATGCTAGTGTTAAAGGCTCCTTTTTTATTTTTAAATAAAACAAGCAGATAAAATTAGAGTTAGCATTATAATAGAGAGTGCTAGAGTTAAGATGAAAGAGATTTGTTTTCAGCTGTTTCTTAAAAATGATTAAGGACTCAGCTGCTTGGATTGAGTTGGGCAGGTCATTCCACCAGGAGGGAACAGTTAATGTAAAAGTCCATGAAAGTTTTGTCATAGGTAGAATGCAAAATGTTTCAATACAAGCATTTCAGTCAAATGTAATTTATGCAATATTTCAAACCTTTAACCCACTTGGGAAAAACGCGGACTTGGCAACCCTGCATCCAAGAAGAACTACCGGAGTCAGATTTGACTGATCTCAGGTCAAGAATAAGGAGAAATGACTGACAAGACCATGCTGGAGTATTTGCTGCTCAACAGATCCTGAGCTCATTGACAAATATCTGATCTTGTAAGATGTGCTCCCTTTACACAGATGTGATCGCGAAATCAAAAGTGAACAGTGCGAACGCTTATTCAAAAGGGATTTAAATACGCCACATACTGAGAGCGGCTCCCTGATGCGGCAAAATTATATACAATATTAGAATGTTTAAAGGAGGGCACAAGAAAATCATGGGAGCGAAACACATGTTGTGGGAGCAGGTGGCAATGGTCAGAGATTCAGCCGGAGCAAGATTAAGAAAACAGCCAAATCCCGGACATTTTGGGTGATTAAGAATTCCCGGCCGGACGCATTTTTTAGGTCCAAAAAGAGGACATGTCCGGGGAAAAGAGGACGTATGGTCACCCTAATTTAAAGCAGTAGTTCTTCACCTTTGTGACTGCAAAGCCTCCCATTGCCTACAACAATATTCTACATTTTTACTCACAGTTTCTACCCGATAAAATATTTTAGAGCTTGGCATTTTAATCATTTTAATTCAGCAAAAACATTTAGCATCAGTTGGCTCAATTTTTCAGTCTGGCTTCACAAATGACACTTTCAGACTTGAAAATGCATTGGACACATGAACAATCCTTAGAGACCCTTGACACATTGTGAGATGACCTGCATCCTGCACCTGCATTGTGTTAGTAGCAGTTCAAGACAAGAGAAACAAGCTCTCTTCAAGACAATTGTCTGATTATAATGCTGACTGGCTGTACAAATAGGAAATCTGGGCACGTTTAGACAGCAAATTTGTTGAGCATATTATAGGCCTACAAACTATAAGAATAAACAGGGGACAGAGTGAACCTTCTGTTTTAAAATTCCTCCCTCACAGCTTGATGTCAGAGGTAAATTTGCTAATTTTGTGTCTGCTGACATTTTTTATTTTTTAAGCCAGCACTTACTTTGCCATTTCTTATGCTCATCTACCATTCTGTCATTACCACAGGATAAATCCCCCCAATAAAACAATGCAACTGAAAAGAAGAAAAAAAAAATCAGACGACAACAAAATAACAACCAACAAACAGCTCGTTATGTGCTTCTCTGCATGACATTGGTTAGAGTTCAACCCCAAGGCATCCATAAACTGTTTGAAAAAACTGAAAAAACTGTTC